TGAGAGAGAGAGAGAGAGAAAGGTGGTTGTGCCTTGTATTCTGCTTTACCTGAGTTGCTTGTCTGACCATCTCTGATCTTCTCCGTGATGTTGAAGCCACTGGTCCTGATGATCCAGAAAATATTGGCAGGATCAAGAAAAAAGACAAAAGGAAAAGGAAAGCATTGAAATCTTATTTCAAACCTAGTTTCCAATAGTGTTCTTCCAAGTGCAAATGCCTTAAGCACAGATATAAATGGAAATGGCTATATTGTGAGTATGACCTACTTAAAAAGTGACTAGAGAAGTGAGAAAGCCTGGGGAGAGGGACAGAGAAAAGCTAAGTTCTCTCTTTGCTGAGAAGGAGTGGGTACATTTCCATCTGCTCACATTCCATGGGAATGGAAAAATTTATTCATTTTATCTGTTGTAAATGGCATATATCCCAAATGTAAAAACAGTCTTGATTGCCATCAGTATCTGCCTCTCCATGGAAAGAAAATAATAACACAAGGCTTCAATGAAATTAATTTTTCAAATAAAAATTTTTATTCATGTTTTGTTGATGCTTCTTACATCACAATCATTTCTAGACATACTCTCTTCTTCTCTTACTCATTTCATAAGTCTATCCTTAGGACAAAGAGAAATAATGAAGCAAAGCTAATCAACACAGCAATTACATTGTATGCAAGGTTCTGCATCACAACTTCTCACCTCTCCAGGGAAAAGAAGGAAATTCATTGCCTTGTTTTTTCTCTGGGACCAAAATTGCTCATTATATTAATTTTTAAGAGTAAATAAATTCAGAAAACTGTAAGCTCTTTGTTTTGTTTTTTTTTAAACTAATTAAAATAGCAAAGATGGGAGACCCTGGACATGGAATATTACATGTGCCTTCAGACATGGTTGCATCTATTGGTTGTTTTTGTTAGAATGCTTCCCCCCCCCCTTTCTTTGTAAATTTCTTTTTACAGGTGATGACTAGATTGGAGAGGAGAAGGGATAAAGTTAGGATTCTAAAATCATCGTGGCATAACTACAAAAGATATCAATTTTAAAATTTAAATAATTTTTAAAGCTAATAAAAAAGCTCTATTTGTGCAAAAGTATTTATACCAAGCTCTTTTTGTGGTGTCAAAAGAATTGGAAATTGAGGGGATGCTTATCAATTGGGGAATGGCCGAACAAGTTGTGATATATGATTGTGATAGAATACTATTGTTCTATAAGAAATGACAAGCGGGATGATTTCAGAAAAACCTGGAAAGACTTACATGAACTGATGCAAAGTGAAATCAGCAGAACCAGGGAAACATTGTACATAGTAACAGCAATATTATATAATGATCTACTGTGAATAACTTAGCTATTCTCAGCAATACAGTGATACAAGACAATTCCAAAGGACTCATGATGAAAAATTCCATCTATCCACAGCTAGAGAAAGAACTGATGGAGTCTGAATGTGTATCAAAGCATACTATTTTTCACTTTTTTTGTTTTTTTTCTGTCTTCTTTTGTAACATGACTAATGTGGAAATATGTTTTACAAAATTGCATATGTATAAACTATATCAATGCTTACCTTCTCAATGAGGGGAGAGGAGAAGGAGCAAGGAAGAGAATTTGGAACTTGAAATTTTAAAAAATGAATGTTAAAAATTGTTTTTATATGTAATTGGGGAAAAATAAATTATTTTTTTTAAAAAAGCCTTTATTTTGTGTGACCCTGGTCAAGTCACTTAACCCCAATTGCCTAAAAATAAAAAATAAAAAATAAAAAAAATAAAAAGCCTTTATTGAGGAAACAGTGATTTGAAAAACAAATTTTAAAAGACTCTTGTATGAGGTTAAACAGAGAGAATAAAAATTTCTAGGAATTTCACTTTTTAACTTAATGAAAGTAATTTGCTTAAAAAAATTAGTGTTTTTTTTTTTTTATTTCCTACCACTTTCTTAGACAAGCCACACCTGTAAATCTTCCAATAGGCAGACCCAATTCACTCTTGGATTGATTTTCCTAGTTAGACATAGTGGCAAAACAATATCAAGCTACCTTCTTTTGCTGTCTGTCACATTCCTATTGCCTTGAGCCAAGGCATAGGGATTTTTGTCCTACTTGAAGGCAAGGATTATTTTTAATTTCTCTGTATCCCCAGCCCTTAGTATATGATAGATACATATTAAATGTTTGTTGTATTCTGGGGGCTGTGCCTTAGGGCCCTTGCCTGACTCTCTTTTAGCTCTCCCATATCCTCTCCTCAGCACTGTTATGAGCAGAATTTATCACGGTATAAATTCTATACAGGTATAGTAAAAAAAGTCAATAAACATTCATTAAGTGCTTATTCTACGTGCCAGATATTGTGTGCTAAAATCAAGTGCTGATACAGAATTCATCTAAATCTAGCTTGCCCCTCAAAATGGTATAATAAAGACCCCTTGGTTCTAGATACCTTTAATCAGTCACCTGGGCTGATCATTTCAGTCCTGGACTGCCAGGTCTTCTGTTTGAGTAGTCTATAATCTTATTCCCTCCCCCCCCTTCCCCCCCCCCACCCATTTCTATTCCCAATCCAAGTTTAGGCTCTCTCTCTGAGAAAGGGATTTTAAACCATTCTTGTATTATGGACTCCTTTTGCAGTTCTCAGAATCACATATTTAAATGCATAAAATAAAATCTATAGGATTACAAAGGAAAATTATATTGAAATACAGTTAGCAAAATATTGAAGAAAAAAAAAAGGTTACAATTAAGGTGAACCTGCTCAGTTTAAGAAGCCCTGCCCTGAGAATGTGAATACTCTCCTATCTGATTTTCTGAGTGTCTGAGAGATTGATCTCCACCCTCCAACAGAAGTCTCCACCCCTTCTGATTTTGCATTTCTGTCATCTAGTTACTTGTCCTAATGATCTCATTCCTGTTCTGTTTTCTTTTCTCTTTATTCTATACGCTGTTCTCCTGGACACCAGGGATTTCCACACCCTTTTCATTTTGGCAGATTTAGCTACTTTTAAGCAAATACTTTTAACCCATGCTTCCTCCACAGCTATCTAGTCTTAATACTGAGTCTTGGTCTATTAGCAAATGCAGCCTAAGGAATTTAAACATATCATTTAGAAGCTACCATCTTGCCTAAGGCTTATCTAAGGAGAGCAAGCAGGAGCTTCCCTTACATACGTAAAAATTTAACAGCAGTGCAGGTAAACTGTTCCTTTTATGTTCCTATAGCACAAGGCATTTGCTTTTAGGTCTGAAGGATCACACGGAACTCAAAGAGAAAAAAAGAGATACTGACCTGAAGACAAGACCTAGAGAGAGGCCTGTGCATCAATAAGGTTCCTACAGGGAGCTCCACGTACTAAGGAGCAAGGAGGTACAAAGCTATTAAGGGAGGAGTGAATCTGTGCACCTAAAACATATGCAACCCAACTTTTTGCCTGTACTGTGACTGATGTGGTCTATATAAATCCAAGTGGTGGGGAAAGGAAATGAACTCTTCAGAGTTCCTGAGATTCTTTTCTCATGAGGAAAGTGGGAGTATTTTCTTGACTATGGGCTCAGGTCCAAGCTTTTTCTGTATTTTTGTTGTGTAAATAAAACTTTTCTAATATTTGACGTCTATCTAATTAGCTTGAGTGCTGGAAGGGAGATGAGGGCCCTTTTGAGGAAAGCAAAATAAGCCAGATACTGATGTCCCCAGGGCATCTGTGGGCAGGAGCACAAGTTGGTGATTTTTTGAGTGACCTTCCAAAATTATACCCCTGTCCATTGGGTTAAGGGCTGAAGCCCAGTTAATACTAAAAAATGTTACAGGGAAAAGGAGAATAGATGAGAAGATTTACATACCATTCCAAGCTGTGGGCTGCTAATCTCTCTTCCCCTCCCTCCCAGTCTCTCTTATCAGAAAGGTGAGGCCCTAGGTCAGTAATTAGGTCTCTGGACTTTTTTTTTTTGTTTCAAAATTTGCCTCTGGAGATCTTCCCTTCCTTGGGGCAAGGACACTATTCCATTGACTCTAGACTCTGGAGTTTTAAGCTGAATTGTCCTTAAGAAGAAGGTGATAGTGGAGAGCAAGGACGTGTGAATTGCCATGGATCATAGAGTGAGGGCAGAGAGCAGTTGGGGTTTCTCAGCAGTTGACTCTTCAATCCTATGGCACGTTCCCTTATCTCCCTGCTGTCTACCTTAATGGAGGAAAAGAATGGTAGGAGGTTTGATGCACTTACCTAGCTGTTTTCTTTTGCTGCCTCAAGACTGCTGAACGTTTTGCAGAAGCTTCAGACACTCCCTTGGCCATAAGAAGAGCCAGGCTCTCACTCGGTCCAGCAGGTGGCGGGCTGCTAATTTCGAGCTGGAAAGATCATATGGTAAAGTGAGGCTGCTAGGCTCACACTCTCTTTAGTCTGAAAGGGACCCCTTATGACCTTTTTGCCATATTATGGGGCCCCTGGCCATAAGGAAACATCATTTCCCTAGCTTATTTTTTTTAAAGGCAATTGGGGTTAAGTAACTTGCCAAGGGTCATACAGCTAGTAAGTGTTATGTATGTGAGGCCAGATTTGAACTCAGATCCTCCTGATTCCAGGGCTTGTGCTCTATCCACTACACCACCTAGCTGCCCCATTCCCTAGTTTATTACTAATGGAGCCCAAAATGTGCTAGAGGTTTACATGGAATCCAGAGATCCTATCTATTTCTCACAGCCCAGGCCTGAATTTCTACCTGTTAAATGTATTGTTCCCATCCAATACTTTTTATTGTACTAGAATAATTTCACGGTTTTTCTGAGTAACGAAGCTTTATATTTTCTGTTCCCATGAGTGGAATAATTTCTATTTCTCTGAGGGAAAAAAGCAGTCTCATGTTTAGTTGCTTCTTGGTTGTACAAATAGGTTTCAGTTGATTATTGACTCTTAATAAACCACCTATAGATCCTCACATTTGTAACCATCAAAGCCAAACCAAACCAAACTGGCAAAGGCTGTCTTCAGGCCACACACTGAAGAGCTGAGTAATCCAAAATGTTTTCCCCTACAGCGACCTAGAGTGCTGCTAGAGCGTTAGACTGGATGACATCTGAGGTCCCTTCAGGCTCTATTTCCATGATCCTATGACCCCATTTTTGCTAGTGAAGATTAGGGCCCTAGGGAGTCCATTTACCATTTCTGGGGCATGCCCAGAGGGTTTGCAGGGGTTCTTGGGCACTAGGCAATGAGTCACATGAATTCTCGGGTCTTTAGTGGTAATGGACAGTCCCCTCTCCAGAATATACAGCAGCCGGACCCAGAACTGGAACACCACCTCAGGATGGTCCAAGTGGAGTTTTAGGTAGTAGATTTTTTCAGTAACTGTCCGAACCCTCAGGATACGCCGGGAACAGTCACAAACTTGGAGTTCCACAAACTTTAGTGGGAGAATCCTGAGGACACAAGAGAAGAGGCAAAATGGAAACCCCTCCACAGTAGAACTCATCCTTTTTGATACGGCCATATCCCTAGCCAGCAGAATCAGTGGTACAATGGGGAATTTCTCCATAAAATCCCATAAAGTGATCCCCCAAAACAATCCCCCAAAAGAAAGCTGTAGGTACCAAAACGGGGGAAATGGGTAAGGGAAGGGAAGGGAAAGGGCAGAAAGGGAAAAAGAGAGAAGGAGAAGGGAAAGCGAGAAAGAAAATAAGGGGAGTGAAAGAGAGGGGAGAAAATATGAGAAGGGAAGAAAAAGGGGTAAAAGCAAAGAGAGAAAATAAAAGATCTGAGGGAGAGATAGATGGACCGACAGACACAGATAGATAGATAGATAGGTAATGGAGAAAGAGAGGAATCAGGAAACAAGAGGATTCTGGGGCATGGGTAGCCAAGTCGGTCAAGGTTGGCTAGGAAGGCTTAGGACCAGGAATTTAACTAAGCAGGGAAGTCTGCAGGTAACACAGCTCTAGGCAGGCAAAGGGACCAAGTCTAGTTAGGTCACACTAGAAGAGAGGAAGAAGCACAGGCAATTATGTAGTTTTAGGTAGACAGGGTCCAGAGTCTAGGAACTGAGGGTCACCAAGGATAACACTGGCCCACAGGATTGGTGAACTTTGATCCTAGGTCAGAGGCTCTCTCCTCTCTACCGTATTTCATGTAGTCTGCTGGAAGCTCCAAGTCCACAAACTTAATCATGGCCAGAATGTTACAGGCCTCCTGGAAGAATCCAGGCTTCCAGAAAAGCAAGGACAGTGATGCTAGGATTACCTTACAAGAAGGGAACCAAAGGAGAAAAATAAAAGACATAGTAACATTAGCCTTTTTCACTCATTGCTATTTCCTCCACTTCTCTCTCCCCACCCCATACCCTGCCAATAGTATTTTATTTTTTCCAATGATATGTAAAGATAGTTTTCAACATTTACTTTTATAAAATTTTGAGCTCCAAATTTTTTTTTCTCCCTCTCTCTCCTCCCTCCTCCCCAAGATGGCATGCAATGTGATACAGGCTATACACTCCACATCCCTCTTACCAAAGAAAGTGATTGGACTGCAGCATAGGTTACTTCTCCCTCTTTTTACCCCCAAAATGGCCCTCCCCACCAGTGAGGGGAAACCTGTCAGAGATGCAGAGGAATGGGCTGAGGAGTAGGATTGCCTTTATGAGTGAAGAGCCTAATAACGAGGTCCATTCAATCCACACTCATCACTCACTGAGGATTCTGGTAGCTGATATCGCCAAATCCCATGACACTCTCCTTCCTTCCTCAATAAGGTTGGTGCCTCTCTCATAGTCTTCCCGACTCCTGCCCTCATGTTAGGAGGCTTCGACATACATGTTGATACTCCCTCAAACACCTTAATTTCCTACTTCTTCCTGTTTCCCTGGCTTCCTTCAAGTCTCTGCTAAAGTCCTACTTTCTGTCAAAAGCCTTTCCTGATCTCACTGAACAATTATACCTTCTTTCTGAAATTACTCTAATTTAACCTGTATATAACCTGTTTGTTCATAGCTTTTTGCATATTGTCTTCCCCATTAGACTGTGATTTCCTTGACAGCTGGTACTGTCTTTGGCCTTTTAGAGTCCCGACACCTAACACGATGCACCATTTTATTTTTTTTAAGGTATCCAAATTTTAGGACTGGAAAGGGATTCTAGAATTTGTATAGGTTAGTGCCCTCATCTTACCAATGAGTACGCAAACCCAGAGTCACTTACTCAAGGTCATATAACTTTCCATTACATCTCATAACAAGGAAGGAAAAATTTCCTATAATTGGAGTCAGTCTCTAGTTCATATATTATCTTCTCTCTCCCTTCAGATGGTCTGTCTTCATACCCCTAGCCCTCTTCCTCATTCACCAGGTCTTTTGTTTCTCCTTACCTGCAAAATGAGAGTGTTAGACTATATGATTTCTAAATTGTCTTGAAGTTTTAACATTGTAAGTTTAAGTTACTGGACCAGAAACCAATACAGCTTCTAGGGACCTCTATGTTTTTTTCTTTATCTGTGATTCTGGCATAGTGGAAAAAGCACTGGGCCTGGAACTAAAAGACCTAGGTTCAAATTCTAGCTTTGCCATTTCCTGGCCATGCAACCTTGGGGAAATCACTTAAACTTCCAGAGCCTCAGTTTCTCCAAGCATAAATTGAAAGATGATCTTTAACCGCCCTTTCCAGTAATTCAATTTTAGAGCATGTTGCCTTTCAGGCATTCAATGGTATCCTCTTTCGTTCTTTCACCCTCATTAACTTCTTTACCTTTTGAGGGTGATAGTTGGTGCTTCTACTGGTCTGATCCACTTTGGAGATTGCCCTTTGGGCCATTTGACTTTGGCCATTAGGAGAATGTTGGGAAGAGGAAGGCATGCCACTGATGAGGTCACACCAAGAGCCAAGGTTGTAGATGTGTCATAGATGTCTCTCCATTTCTTTGTGACCTGAAAAGCAGCCCCAAGGGCATGGATCTAAGCATGTAACAAGAAGGGGTAGAAAATACTTTCAACTATGTTGGTTGAATCACTTAATTGAAAGTCAATTTTCAGCTCTCTGCCTTGTAGATAGTCTGTATTGTGGTTAGCTCCCCAAGAAAATTTCAGCTCTAAAATGTTTCCTCAACCATCTAACGTACTTCTGAGTCTCTTACAATAATTGTTTAATTTCTCCATTTAGACAAAGAATTCTTAACCTTTTTGTGCATCATGGATCATTTAATAGTCTGGTGAAGCCTAAGAATCCTTTGTCTGAATTATATTTTTAAATACTGAAAAGGAAATACAGAGGATTACACAAAGGAAACCAAAGACCAGTGAAAATAAAGATGTAATTTTTTTCCCCATCCAAACCCACAAAAACTATTTACAGATCACATGGGGTGCTGTAGACCCCAGGTGGAGACTCTTAGACCTGATCTACACTATCCAAATCTAGGTATTTGGTCCTTTTATCTGAAGGACTCATAATTTTAATGAAATTTCATATTCAATTTGGAGTATTGTAAAATTAAAAGCTATGATTTTGGTAATGACTTTACTTTGGTCTTATTACCATACTAGTCATACTTTTGCACTAACAGCCTTGGGTTGGACATTGAGATCCAGTTTAATCAGTCCCTAGTGTACAATGACCACTGACCTCTACCTGAAAGTTCATACTGGGTGCCTTATATAGCAGAAGTCTTGCAAGTGAGACCATTACCCTACATACACAAACAAGGGAAATTTAGGACCTAACCCCTTGAGTTTTTCCTGGGTTCTCAGTCCCCTTTTTTCCCCAGGGATTCCAAGGTTCATATAAGTGTTTTTCGCAAGTCCGGGATATAAGATTTGGGAGAGGTGAAAAGAATTTGCTTAAATGGCTGACTAGGGGTACCTGGATGAAGTTGCTTTCAAAGACAGCTGAGTTGGGAAACAAGTTAAATTCTGGAGAATGAAGCAGTTGGCAAAGTAGCCCCTCTTCTACCCCAAGTCCCACTCCAGGGTCTGGTTCTTTAACTGCAGGTGGGAGGCCCCTGATGACCATTGTTGCATCAGGGGAACAGTAGGCTTGATCTTGTATTGGCACAACTAGTGTCTTCTTTGATTTCCCCTGGGGTCTTCCACTTAGAGGAGTTGATGGTAACATATCTCTCTCTATACAGTCAAGGGGCCAATTGTAAGTTCCTGATCTGACCTCCCTCTTCTACTTGCCTAGGGTTTGCTCATCAAGGCCCAGGAAAGTCTGTCAGCTCACAATGGATGACATCACTGAGATAGTGAGTGTAGTGTAGGAAAGAGTATTGATGGATTTGCAGTCAAAAGACCTGGGTTCAAGTCCAGGTCTGTGGATCTGTCTGGTCTGTGTGACCATGGGCAATTCACTTAACCTCTCTGAACCTCAGTTTCTTCATTTATAAAATGGGACTTAAAATATTTACATTAATAGCCTCAAAGAATAGCAAATATAATATTTTGTAAACCTTAAAATCCCATGTAAACATGAGCTAATATAATAACTAAAAACTTTGATGCTTTAATAGGAGAGATTTAAAGAAGGAGGTTCTTTCTTTGTTCCCTATATAACATTTTCTAATCTATCTGAATTCTAAATATCCTAGACTTTCTATGGATATGGTCAGAATTGTCCTCCCTCCAGAGGATTCTGTGGACAGTGTAGTGAGTCACTGTGAAGCATTGTAAGACAAAACCCACCGTAACACTGAGGCAGAGACAGATCACTAGACTTGAGTAGTGAGTGCAGAATTTATTGGTCACCCCTGCCCTGACTACAGCTGGGAAAAGTGGCCCTCAATATGCCCACTAGCGCACAAAAGCAATATCATCTTAGCTAGGATCCTCCAAAATAAAAACAGAAACAAAGATTATAATTTATCTCTAGCCTTTCCCTTCCTTATGATATATGCACACTAGCATAATTTCATCCAAATTCTCCCATCCCTCAGATCTCCATGCTTGAAAACCCCATACATGTTGATGTTTGGGCAAAAACCTCAATTGTCCATTCACCTATACATTGGCATATCAGAAGGAAGGTAAGATTTTGAGGTCCATGACCAGCATGTCACCTAAACTGGGATCCCAACAGAGAAAGAGGGCTACAACTGGGCCATGGTCTCAGCCCAGAAGAGCACAGAATGGGACTGGGAGCAGCATGATGTTTGGGTTCACTATCAGGAACTCCAGCCAGGGAATAAAGTCCAAGTATGAAAGCCTGGTATCACTAGAAAACACAGGGTAGCAAACAAGCAAAGAGGTCATGCCATGCCAAGTTGCTGATAGACTAAATCAGAGAAAAACTGGGATTTGCTTTTCTGTAAGCAAGACCATATAAAAATCATTCACTGCCACCACGCATTGCCCGTAGGAGAGCTAGTGGGCCCGGGTGGCAAGCAGGAGGGCATGTCCCACAAAGGTCCTATTTATCTGCTTTGGAGGAGAACTCATATAGGGATAATCCAGGTCAGGATTCTGATGAAGCAGAGAAGAACAACAGAAAGGTTTGGGTGTTTTTCTCAAGTTATATTAGGAGAAAAGGATCACAAAAGAAGAGGTGGGATCTTTGCTTAGGGTGAATGGGATGGTGACAACAGATAACAAATAGAAAGTACAGCTGTTCACTTCTCATTTTGTTTCTGTTTTCTCTGCAAAGAAGAATGACCTTTTACACTGGAAATAACAGAAAAAATGACTGACCAAGGTACATAAGTAGATAGTAAAAGTGCACCTAATTGCCTTTGATGAATTTAAGTCACCTGGCCCAGAGGAACTACATCCTTGGGTCCTGAAAGAACTGGAAAGTGTGATTATTGTCAATGTCATCAGTGGAACTGGAAAGATCACAGAAAATAGGAAAGGGACCACAAAATTGGAGAAGGGTTAATTTTCCAAAAAGGAAAGAGAACAGAGTCTAGAAACTCTAGGGCAGTGAATTTAACTTCAATTCTTAGGAAAATTCAAGAAAAGATCATCTGTTGCTCTGCTCAGTTTGAATTCTAAGGGAGATGATACCCTCCCAGGATAAGCTGATCACCTGAAATCTCATCATCAAGATGTTAAATGCAGCTTTGGATACTCAACACCTTCCCAACTCCTTCAGCCTCCTCTCCTCTCCCTGTTATAGAGGGCTTGGCCTGGCCTCTCCATCTACCTCTCCATTTCCATCTACAAATTTGCTTGGTTTGACCTCCAAGGAACATGGTGCCCCCATGCCAGGTACCCCCAGTGGTCCACCTTTTCCCCCTTTCTCCAGCTTCCTTTTATATGTTGTCTTCCTCCATTAGATTATGAGCTCCTTGAGGGCAAGCACTGCCTTTCTTTTTCTTACTTGTATCCCTAGGGCTTAACACAGTGCCTGGCACATAGTAGGCTCTTAATAAATGTTTATTGAATTGAATTGAATTGATTGATAAATATCTAGAAAGGAAAGCAGGGATTACAGAGAGCCAGTGTGGCAAACTGGTCATGGTAGACCAAACTCATTTCCATTTTTTTGGACAAGATTATTAAACTAGTTGGCTATAGTTTACCTAGATTTTAGCAAAGCATCTCATACTACTGTTGTGGAGAAGATGGAGAGGTATGGATTAGACAATAATATGATCCAATGGATTCAGAAGTGATGGAATGGCTGGATTCAAAGATTGATTATTAGCACTTCAATGTCAACATGGCAGGAGATCCCTAGGGGAGTACATTGTGGGGCTTTGGGTTTGGCCTTTTATTATTGAATAGTGTTATCAATGGTTTGGTAAAGACATAAATGGTATGGATGCTCATCACATTTGCAAATGATGCAAATCTGGGAGAGAGTGTTAGAGTGTGTGTCAGAGTCTAGATCCAAAAAGATTTTGAAAGGCTAGAGTGCTAGGCTGCATCTAACAAGAGAAAATGAAGCAGGAATAAATGTAAAATCTTGTGCTTAGGTACAAAAAATGAGCTTCTCAAATAGTTATCCCTTCCACATAGTGAGGGTTAAGGATGCAGTGCCCCTAAGAGCTGGAAAATTCATGTAAAATTTTTTGGCCCTCCCTTCATACCAGAAAAGAAGTATGAATTATTGCGCTATTAAAAGTTAAAACATGTTGATATTATACAATATTACACATTTCTGAGTTTCTAAACTTTTTCTGTGTTGTCTGCTGGGACTTCACCAAAACTCCCCCAACATTCCCATTTAATTTCTTATGCCAACACCGTGATACATCGAAACTGTGATGGGGAAAGTTGTGATGTGGAAGGGATAAGAAGAGAAAAGCATGGAGAAAATAGCAGTTGTTATGAAAATAATCTGGGGGATTTTAGTGTGAGTTAGCATATGAATCAGCAATGTGATATGGCAGCCAGGAAAGCTAATGTAGTTCTTGGGCTACCTTATGAGTGGCCATATCTTCCAGGAGAAGAGAGGTGGTAATCCTACTGGACCTTGCCCTCACCAAACCTCATCTGGAATATTGTGTTCAGTCCTGGGCACCAGAGCTTAAGAAGGACACTGATAAACTGAAGATTGCCCAGAGGAGAGCAGTGAAGATGGTGACAGTTTTTGAGAGTTCATAATAAATTATCCATCGGAAGAACTGGGAAATTTTTTGCCTAGAGAAGACTCAGGGAGCACATGATAATTGTCTTTGAGCTTCTGAAGGGCTATCACATTGAAGATAGATCATATTTGTTCTATTTGGTCCTAGAAGGCAGAACCAACAGCCATGAGTGAAAGCTGCAAAGAAGCAAACTTAGAGTTGATGTCAGGAAAAATTTCCTAACAATTAGAGATGTCCCAAAGTGGAATGAGTTGTCTCGGGGTGGAGGGTTCCCCTTTCCTTGGAGGTCTTTAAGCAAAGACTGAACAATTGCTTCTTGGGTGTGGTATAGTGGATATTTCTTTCAGGTACAGTTTGGACAAGATGTCCACTGAGGTCCCTTCTGGCTCTTCAGTTTTGTGAAGAAGAAACTGGGTTTGAGTATTTTTACCATTTGAAAATATGGAAGGCTATCAGAGTGGCCTCAATCTGTAGGAGACCCCAGCCTGAGCAAGGGAGAGATATTAAATTCATCCTCTTCACTAATAGAGACCTCCAGAGGACAAGCTTCCGTATGGCACTTAATTCCTTTGAGATGGTGAGCAGCTCCAATCATCTTCAGTCATCCGTAGTCAAAGAATCTTTGGTTTCCAATTTATGTGTACCAATCCTGGCATCATCCTTTCTTCTAGAGTGAATGTCCAGATACTTGTTTCCCAGAACAGCAAGGTAGATAACTACCCTATTCCAGTGAGGAAGGAGGAGAAAAATACATTTATTGTTTTGTTGAGGCTCAGGGTCACCCAGCTGGGAAGTGTCTGAGGTCAAATTTGAACTCAGGTCTTCCTGACTGGAGGATCAGTGATTGATCCACTACACCACCTCACTGCCCCTAGAAAAACACATTTAAAAAGCATCAGTCAGAGGCATATTCATCTCATTCCCCAATATAGTCACAATGGCTTTCAAGCCTAATGTTTGCCTTCCCCCTTGTCCCCAGGGGCTCTTAAAACTAGACAAGAAGCTAAACAGGGTTTCTAAAACTTCTCACACACTTCTGCTTGTCCTGTTCTCTATTCCAGTGAGTTGTTTCTAGAAAAACTCAAGTAGATTTCAATAAAAAAAATCCAACCTAAGGTGAAGCTCCAAAGAATCCCATTTCTTAGCCATGTCTCTCACAAATAGTGCCCTCCCATGCCTTTGCTCCAAAGTCTATATTCCTCAGCAAACACCTCAACCAGCTCCACATTGGCTACTTAGCTCTAGAGGCTGGCTCTCTGGCAAGCCCCCAATGACTCTATTAACAATTTATTAAGTATTTTTAAGTGTTATAATTAATAGTAATATTAAGCTAGCACTTAAATAGCACTTTAAGGTTTGCAAAGTGCTTTACATATCTTATCTCATCTGATCCTCAAAACAGCTAGGGGAGGTAGGTACTATTATTATTCTCATTTTATAGATGAGGAAACTGAGGCATACAAAGGTTAAGTGACTTGCCCAGGGTCATACAACTCATATGTGTCTGAGGCAGGATTCAAACTCAGGTCTTCTTGACCCCAAGCACTCTGTACACTGTACCACCTAACTATTTCATATTATCTGAAAG